CCACCCCACTTGTTCTGGCCCAGGAAACCTTCATCTGCCTCTGGAGCCAGGCCCCCTTGCTCGGCCCATAGTGCAGGGCACTTCCCACAGCTCCCCCGGCACTGGCAGGGCCTGTCCCATCCCCCCACCCCAGCGTGCAGATGCATGACCGACCCACGGGGATCCCCTGGAAGGGGTTCGACCCCTGTCCCCAGCGTGGGGCACAGACTGCCCCCCAGAGCTATGGGCCCTGCCACAGGGAGAAATCGCTCCAGCACGGCAGGGGACTTGTGAGAGCAAATTTATTTCGTTCTTTTGGCACAAACAGACCCACAGCAACAGCCCCCCCACCCCTGCGCAGGTCAGCCCCCCACCTCTGCCCCCTTAGGATCAGGGCTGGTGGCTCCTGCCCCACCTGTTGTGGTGCCTGCGCAATGTTGGGCCCTGGGGCAGCCTCACCTGAGCCGTTCTCTGGGCTTGGCCTAGTGGGGGGCTCAGCCCTGCCGTGCCCATGGGTCCCCCTTGGCTAAGGCCACCCTCCCCCCCCCCCCCCAGCAGCCCTGGCTGCATGGGCCTAACCCCCACCCCCCTCCCTGAGGGTGCTCAGCGGGGGGCTCCTCCCTGGCCTTGGCCCTCACTCAGCCGGAGCCAGCGCTCCCCCCCCAGCCCGGCTCTGCAGCATGTGCGGGAAAGCAAGTCCTGCCCCCTCTGTGCTGGTGCTTCCTGGGCTGGCCCAGCCCCCCACCCGCCCCCCAGTGCAAAATCTGAGCTGGGAAAATGGATCTACATAAAATCACTGATGGAGGTCGGGGGTTGGCACTAGGCAGGGCTGGGGCAGGCAGGGAGCCCGTTGGTCATGGGCTCTCCCTGGCACTGCCCCATGCCAGGGCTCCACGGCCTGCCAGCACCAGGGCTGGGCTCCGGCCGCTATCCGCCGCGCTGTGCCGAGGGGGGCCGCCCTGGCCCTGCCCCTCACAGCTCAATGGTGTCACTCGACAGGCTGCGGGAATCCACCTGCTTGCTGAGTGCCAGGAAACTCCTCCTGGCTTCACGCTCAGAGTCTCCGGCGCCGCCCGTGGTGCTGGGCCCGGAGGCCTCGTCGGGGAGCAGCGGGGCCCGGCTGGGCGTCTCCTCCAGGGGCAGGCTCTCCAGCGAGGAGAGGCCGTGCCGCCAGGGGTTCCAGCTGATCTTCAGGGAGCCCTTAGAGAAGCTGTCGAGGGAGCTGCCCGAGACGGTGCCCTCGGTGGGGGGCTGGCTGGGCAGGCCCTTGCTGGGGGGCAGGCTGGCGCTCTGGGAGGGCAGGTCGCTGAGCGAGCTGCAGCGGGCCAGGCTGTACAGGTAGTCGGGGTCGCTGCTGCGCCGCTGCCGGGCCTTGGCGGGCAGCAGCGGCTCGGCCGTGGGCGTGAGGGCAGAGCTCCGGCGCAGCGAGGAGCGGGAGTCCTGGCGCACCAGGCGCCCGGGGTACTGCAGGCTGGAGCGCAGGAAGATGCTGTCGCGCACCAGGTGCTCCTTGAAGAGCGCCTCGTCGATGCTGCGGCTCAGGTTGATGGGCGAGGGTGGGCGGAACTCCAGCTCGCCGAGCGACAGCACCGACTCCTTCTCGAAGCAGACGCTGGTGTAGGAGCGCCCCATGCGCGCGGCATTGGGGCACTTGGGGCTGGCGCCAGCCCGGCCCAGCAAGGAGGTGGAGCCCCCGGCAGAGAAGGCCCCCGTCGCCCTCACCTCGTTGCTGCCCCTCAGTGCCCGCAGGTGCACCTGCTCGGGCGGGTTGCGGATCAGGCTTTTGCTGATGTCGTTGCTGGCCGCCCGCTCCTGCGTGCCGTTGGCCCAGTCGTAGCAGTTGTTGGGGTACTCGGGCGCCTCGGCCTTGCGGTAGGTGCAGAAGTAGCGGACGAGCTTGGCCCAGCAGGTGTGGTCAGCGGAGCCGCAGCACTGGCACAAGGGGTGTGAGGCCACGAAGCACAGGGCAAAGGCCAGCAGCAGCTCGCAGATTCGGAACCAGAACTGCACGAACCACCAGGGCCAGGAGAATTCCCCTGGCGGGCCCAGCACCCCGCCCAGCCACAGGGCCCCGTACGCCTGGAGCCCACAGCACAGCAGCCCCAGAGCGCTACACCCCAGCAGCACCCGCGGGCAGGGGCCCAGCCCCTGCAGGGCTCTGCCCGGCCCAGGCAGCTCCTGGGGGTCCTCACAGCCAAGCGACCCCCGCTGGGCCTCGCCCGGCCCGGCAGGCTGGTGGGGCCGCAGCTTCCAGTACGCAGCCAGGCTGGCCAGCATGAGGGAGGTGCCGCAGGCGCAGGAGAGCAGGTGCAGCCCCACGCCCAGCACGGGGCTCAGCAGCGACGAGAGCAGGTCGGCTGCCAGCAGCGCGGTGCTCTGGAGCGAGGCCAGCGCGGCCAGCAGGGGCAGGCTCTGCAGGGGGGGCGGCAGCAGCTGTAGCCGGGCCACGCGCAGGAGGAGCAGCAGCAGCAGGGCGAAGGCGCCGAGCAGCAGCAGGAAGGGCGCGTTGTACAGCAGCCGCACGGCCGGGGCGGGCAGCCTGGCCCTGGCGCCGTAGGGGTCGGTGAGAAGGAAGGCGGCGCGGAGCAGGCCGGCGCCCAGCAGCAGGGCGTTGGCGCCCAGGGTGTAGGGCAGGTGGGGCAGGCCCAGGACGGGCGAGCCGACGAGGCTGGCCACGCAGACCAGGCTGAGCAGCAAGAAGAGGGTGCTGGTGCCATAGACGTGCAGCTCCCAGGCGAAGCCGAGCGTGCGCTGCAGGTCTGCCCAGTGCAGCAGCGTCTGGTTGGGCTGCAGGAGGCTGCAGGTCCCACTGGCATGGGGGCAGGGCAGGCTAGAGGCGGGCACCGTGGCTGGGACGCTGGGCCCAGGCCTGGGCAGAGGGGGGCGCTGAAGAGCTCGCTGGGTGCTGACTCTGATCAGGCCCCGCTGGGGAGTGGCTGGGGGCTGGGGGTGGGCGGGCACAGGGGCCGTGGTGCTGCCAGGGCCAGGAGGTCGGGTCCCATCTGCAAACAGCAAGGGGCACATTGTCACCAGGGCAGTGAGGGGCATCGGCAGAGAGGTGACATTTGGGGGGGGGGCATGTGGGGTCAAGTGCCCCCCAGCTTGGCTGGCCCGGGGCAGGGAGGGAGAGGGGCTCTGTCCTTCTCTCCCTGCCGAGTTTAGCCCCAGCGCCCTTGGGCCAGTCGCCAGCTGCCCATGGACAGGGCGGGGTGTCCCCCCTCCAGCGGGGAGCCCAGCTCCGCTCCCCCCACCAGCTCCCTGAGGGCTCTGAGCCAAGCCCTGTCCTGCATGGGGGGGGGAATCCCCCGGGCCTGGACCATTCACCCACCCCATGGCGTCCGAGCACGCAGCCCAAGTGCCCCCACTGCCAACCCCTATGGGTAACTGCTCCCCAGGGCGCAGCCCGCTCAGTAAGTACCCACAGTGCACTGTGGCCGCAGATACCCGGGCTCCGGTTCTGGCTGCGCCCGGTGTTCTCCCTGCACCCAGGGCTGGCCAGACCCCCCACAGCGCCCATGCTCTGCATGGGGAGGGGCCTGCAGGGGCTGCAGCGCTCCCTGGCTCCAACCCAGCCTGTCACCAGCCCTGGCTCCCACCTGCTCCTGTTCCCAGCACCTGGCCGAGGCCGGGTCCTGCCCCCACGGGGCTCTTGCAGGCCCTGATGCGGGCGCCTCCTGCCTGCGGATTTCGGGGGCAGCGGAAAGGGCTGCTCCGGTCACAGAGATGGGAGAACTGGGCCCGGGGCCGGGCTGCAGCGAGTCAGGAACCCCCCCAGGAAGGAGGGTTTGTCCCAGGCAGGATCAGGGTTCCCGGGAAGCCCAGCCGGAGGGGGGTGGGGCAGCCAGCGCTGATCCCCGTGGGGGGAGGGGATTAGGCACCGTCACTAGGAATAGCCCTGATTGAAGTGGTCACTGAGCCCCAGCCAGAAATAGCTGCTCCCTGCCCCCCAATCCCCTTAGGGACCAGCCTGGCTCCTCTGACGGCATCAGTGCCCCCGTGACCCCCAGGCTGCCCGGCTGGGGCCAAAGCCCTACAGCTCCTGTCTGGGCCAGGCCTCTGACGAGCCCCTCTGCTCTGCGGGCCTTCAGGCTGCCGGGGGGGGGGGGCACCTCGACATTCCCACAGGCACCTCACAAGGTGGGTCCCAGCACCCCCCTCTCCAGGAGCGCCTCTAAACTCTGCATCCTCAGTCCCCGCAGGGCTGGGTAGGACTGGGCCAGTTGGGACCCACTGGGGCCTCTCTGAGCCCGCGGTGCCCAGGCCCTGCTGGGGCAGCCCCCAGGCCCAGCTGCCTGTGGTGGTGGGAGAGAGGGGCTGGCTGAGTCACGGGACGGATCCCCCATCACCTGAGTGCCTGGTCCCCAGCGGCGGTGGCCTGGGGGCAGAGGTGGCCGTGGAGGTGGTGTTCACGGGGGTTCTTGGGTCCACAGCTCCCCGGACTCGCTGCGGGGCCCCAATCTCCTCCTCGGCTGCAGCCCCTGAAACAGAACCAAGGGCCCGGGGGCTTCAGGTGGCTGCACCGGCTGCCCCATGGCCATGCACTCAGCCTCACTCGCCCATGGGTGAACAGAACATGAGAACGGCCAGACTGGGTCAGACCAAAGGACCATCCAGTCCAGTGTCCTGTCTGCCAACAGTGGCCAATGCCAGGTGCCCCAGAGGGAGTGAACCTAACAGGCAATGATCAAGTGATCTCTCTCCTGCCATCCATCTCCACCCTCTGACAAACAGAGGCTAGGGACACCCTTCCTTACCCATCCTGGCTAATAGCCATTAATGGACTTAACCACCATGAATTTATCCAGTTCTCTTTTAAACACTGTTATAGTCCTAGCCGTCACAACCTCCTCAGGTAAGGAGTTCCACAAGTTGACTGTGCGCTGCGTGAAGAAGAACTTCCTTTTATTTGTTTTAAACCTGCTGCCTATTAATTTCATTTGATGACCCCTAGTTCTTGTATTATGGGAACAAGTAAATAACTTTTCCTTATCCACTTTCTCCACATCACTCATGATTTTATATACCTCTATCATATCCCCCGAGTCTCCTCTTTTCCAAGCTGATCTATATAAGGGCAATAAGATATTCTGTGTCTTATTCTTTATCCCCTTTTTAATGATTCCTAACATCCTGTTTGCTTTTTTGAACGCCTCTGCACACTGCGTGGAC